CATCCCTGGTCCCTACCATGCCCCCATCCCGCATCCCCCATCCCGCATTCCTGGTCCTTACCCTGTCCCCATCCCGCATCCCCCATCCCGCATCCCTGGTCCTTACCTTACCCTGTCGCCATCCCACCTCCCATCCCTACCCTGTCCCCATCCCGCATCCCCCATCCCTCATTCCTGGTACTTACCCTGTCCCCATCCTGCATCCCCCATCCCGCATTCCTGGTCCTTACCCTGTCCCCATCCCGCATCCCCCATCCTGCATCCCTGGTCCCTACCTTGTCGCCATCCTGCATCCCACATCTCTGGTCCCTACCACGTCCTCATCCTGCATCCCATATCCCGCATCCCTGGTCCATACCTTGTCACCATCCTGCGTCTCTTGTCCCTGCCCTGTCCCCATCCTGCATCCCACATCCCTGGTCCCTACCATGCCCCCATCCCACATCCCTGGTCCCTACCCTGTCCCCATCCCGCATCCCTGGTCCCTACCATGCCCCCATCCCGCATCCCCCATCCCGCATTCCTGGTCCTTACCCTGTCCCCATCCCGCATCCCCCATCCTGCATCCCTGGTCCCTACCTTGTCGCCATCCTGCATCCCACATCTCTGGTCCCTACCACGTCCTCATCCTGCATCCCATATCCCCCCCCCCATGCCCCCTGCCCCCCAACCCTGCATCCCCCTGCTGTGCTCCATCCTACACTCCCTGTCCCTGCCATGCCCCATGCTGCATCCCCACCAAATCCCTTTCCCCCATCTTCCAACCCCCTGGTCCCCACGATGCCCACCCTGCGGTCCCCATCCCTCGGCCACCCCCGTGCAGCATTTTGGAGGCTCCGGGGAAGGTGCGGAGCGGGAGAGGTGGGTTTTGGATCACTGCTTTTGGGTTTCCCCCTCCTCTCAGCCAGGGGAAGGCAGGGTGGGCATGGAGATGCTTCTCCGGATGCTTGGGACGGTGACAACTTCACCCCGGCTGCAGCTGCGAAGGAGCAGCGGGGGCGCGGAGCC